TTATTAATTATTATTATTAATTATTATTATTATTGATATTATTTTATCATTATTATGCTCTTCATTTTCCCCCCATTGCAGGTTATGAAGAAGTTGATCAAATTATTACTATACTGCTATCCACAAATATCGCAGTAGGAGGTATGTTGGCTCTCTTCCTGGACAATACTATTCCTGGTACTAAAGAAGAACGAGGGCTAATAGCGTGGAAGCATCACTTGATACCTGATGAGGACGAAGATGACGATTACGAGGTAGCCACCATCCACGTGTACGACCTGCCATTCTGCCTCAAACGTCTTGGATATAACGAAATTTCTCGGTACATACCATTCCTGCCTTACTACCACCCGGTCAGTCATGATGGGGCTTGCCACGTTGCTGCCGCTACCAATGTTGCCATGGAGACGGGAGAAAGTACGAAAAGAGATCTGGCTCTAGAAGAGGGAAAAAACAGTTACGCTGTTCAACCTAATACAATCACGGAAGACCCCGAAGATACCACAAGCTTTTGATTTGCGCGTTTGGTTTGGCAATTTGACTTGTTAGGTTTATAGGAGGGTCCTGAAGGGGGGTCCTAATCCCATTTCTTAGCCCCCATATTCACTAACTCCCACAGTTCCAGCATATGTTTTACTCAAATTTTAATCCCATTGCCATTTTCCAAAATCCCATTTTCTCAGCTCAAAAAAGGCGAATCCCAACTCTCATTTCACCCTTTCAGGACCCTCTTTTAGATATCTTCGACTTGTTCACAGTATAAGTATCGTAGATAAAGTGAATTTTTACAGAGTCTGCCAAAGAAAATGATTTACGCTATCATATCTAACTTTATGCAGTAAATTTGTTATAACTTACATGCTGTAAGATCTTGATTTATCACATTCACGAGAAAATTTATGGAATTGTTAAAGAAGTCATGCATTTCAGTGTTTATGTGTAGACATGCTGCGCAAAGACGGTTCTTCTTTAATCTTTATCGTATTTTTTGAAAATTTTCTTTTTGCCTAACGGTATTTAGTGTTTTTATTGTGATTTTGTGTGTGTGTGTGTGTGTGTGTAGATAGTGCTTAATGATTCTACATACGAAAAAGATTTCGTTTCCTTTTCAAAAATGCATAAAAGATCAAAAGGAGAACGTTTTTATTTGCTTATTGTTCTAAAGAATTACGAATAATATAATATAATTTGAAGGACTTATTTCCAAAAAGATTTTTTAAACGAAAAATGACTGATTTTATTACTTCGTTAGTCTAGCTTTTTGCAGTACATTTTATACAGACTTTCGAGGGTTTTTAGATTTGAAAAAGATAAATGACCGCTTGATATGCTATGCTTGCTGCAATTCGTTTGCGATTCTTACTTCGTACTTGTACGAATAGATAACTGGTCGATAATACGAATGATTTTATCAGAGAAACTTAATCAGCAGACGTTTTAACTAGAATTCTTTCCATTGTTATTGAATATTATTCTTAAAAAGACCAGAAAGTAAAATCATCAAACGAACATTGATTGTTTTCTTGAATGTTTATTTTTATAAGTCAGTACTGTATTAAGTTTCCTAATCGACGAACACCATCCCTTATTTTTATCTTATCTCATCTCACTACCAAATCATTTAATCTTATAACCTACCCCTTCCATTTCATTCCATCTCAGTTCATGTCTCTTTAATTCATACCACATCTCATCCCACCGCATCTCATCCCACCGCATCTCACCCCACCGCATCTCATCCCACCGCATCTCATCCCACCGCTTCTCATTCCCTTTCATTAAATCTATTCCAACTTACGGGCTTCCCGGTGGGAAGAGGAACAAGGACCATGTTGATATCAGGAACAGGGTTACCAGGTTTCCTGTGCTCAATGATCAGCTTGTCTAGGTTCTTAAGACTCTTCAAAACATTCTTGGCTAATAGCTTTTTATTGCCTAAATTGAAAACAAAATAGATATCTTTTCCCTTTCTTTTCTTTTTTATTTACTCTCTGTCTACATTTATCACTCTGGCTACCTGTGGTATCAAGACGCATTTTTTAAAAAAGGTGAAGGAGACCTCCTTCTCTACCTTCACATCCCCATAATGCCTTGCGTCTTTGGGAGGTAACCAATCAAAAAACTGTCCCAAATTGAAAGGTTTCTTATTTGAATTTATACTATACCTGCTTTTATCTGTACAATACTGATTATCAGCTTATTCCAAGTTATTTTTGTGTGTACAGATCATAAAGAGTTTTGGTCTTACAGAAAATGTATTGACTTACGAAAAAATGTTTAAAATWTACTACTAAAATACTACCTTACGAACACTATATACCTGTACCCCAGATAGACCAGAATGCACCGTTAGATTATGGTGGGGAGCACGGGTGGTGAGCGCCGCTATTGTGGCGCTTCCAACAAATGCAGCCCGAGTTTGATTCCCGGGCTCGGCGTTGTATGTGAGTAGAGGTGTTTGTTGGTTCTCTCCTGTGCTTTGAGGGGTTTTCTCTGGGTTCTCCGGATATCCTCTCCTTGAAGATCAACTCTAATTCGATCTTTGAGCTTTCAACTAATCGTTTTCTGGCTCTGCTGTGATCATCCCACGCTGTTATATAACAGTGAAGTTAATGTATATTTTTATGAAGTTACCTTCTTCAACAATTTCTTCGAACTCTTCTTCAGGTGGTCGTATTAGTTATCCTGAAACGAAAAACACAGTTCATCGAGAACACACTGAGCAGGGAAATCGTTCATCTGTTTGAAATTATATACGATCAGCAGTCTAGCAATAATAGCCCTTGACTGCTAATATTAAATAAATTAATGTAAGCAAAGGAAAATCAAGTAGCCAATAAAACTAAAAAAATTTAAATTAATAATATAATAATAATAATAAAAATAATAATAATAAATGATCTGGATACGGTAGGATTCGAACTTAAGCCAAAAAAAAAAAAAAAGAAAAAAAAAAGAAATAAATAATCGATTCCACTGTGCCATACCCCCGAGACATCCGCAGAGCTGGGGCGTCGTATGGACTTCGGACCTGACGGCGATTAAATCCTTCTGCCCTTGGGTGTACGAATTACGCAAGAAAATGTTCTAGCCGAAGCATCAGGGGAGAGACCAGCCGGCCCCCAGACCATATCGGCTAATCCCTTGCATCTCTGCCACGCACGGAATCGGTTGAAAATTGTAATGTTAAAAAGTCTTGTCTATTCGGCACATTGTTTTCACGGCTATTGTTGTGCAAATTTCATGAAACCGTGGCCCAGTGGAAAAAAACCTGGACATTCAAGATACTGAGTCAAGTCCGGTTGAGGAGGGTTAGCACTTGGATGGGTGACCTAAGAGTTGTACCTACTCAAGCTTTTGTTTCTTTTTTTGTATAACTATTTTAATTTGAAAATAATAAAATAGATACCGAACTTTGACGCTCAATTTTACTTTCGATTCGCCATATAGTGTAACCGATTCTTTTCTATCCAAATCCCTGCCTTTCCTATTTGTTTCAATGTAAAGTTCAATTGATAATAAAAAGTTCATTAACTCGTCTTTTAAAAGTTGAGGTTGGAATGAAATGTTGATCTGTGCCCCCGACAGTTTGATATCGGTAAAAATTAAGCCGGTTTTTTAAGATTGAAAAGCTTACCCGGTTTCTCTGGGAGAAAATTTAGAGTCCTGAAACTGTTCCATGATTATTCATTATTCTTTTTCGTTCTTCTCGAGCTTCTTCTTCTTCGGCTTCCTCTGCGTTCAAGTGCAGAGCGTTCGCCAAGTTATCGACGGCGATAGCCAAGAAGACGTTCAGAAGAACATCTTTGATTTGCCAAAGAAAGAAACCTTTGAAAACTGACAGCTCTTTTTGTTGTTGAAAAGAACAGACCTTTTTAGTGAGCTTGGGCGTAATGTTTTCCCATTTCAGACCACGTGTCCTTCACTTTCTCTTGAGAATTTATTTGAATTATATCTATATGTGTCTTCTCATGCGCAACAATTAAACAAAGAAATGATATTCAAGGGTCTGAAACGTTGTCTGAAATGGGAAAAAATTATGCCAAAGCTCGAAGGGTTTTTATGAACATTAAAATTACTCATTTTGCAAGGATACAATTAACAAGTAACAAGAAGGCACAACAAGTAAGACGAAGTAAAAAGACTATGCAAGTGCGTTATTATCCAGCCATCCCTTGGATGATACGTACACTATCGTACATCAAGGCATTCCAGTCCTCGTCTGTTAGGATCTGTTGATAAAAACAAAAATCAAAATATTTGTCCCATTCACTGGAACACATAAATGTTCTGCGCAAATTCGAGGCTAACCCTCAATCAAAAAACTCGAAACTGGATTATTGCTGCGCTTAGTAAGTAGCTTATTTGATAAAAGCGAAAACGAGAGACATCTAAGTTGTATGGAACTTTTCCTTGCTCTTTCTTACTCGTCACTCCTTTTCTGCCCAAAACATGAGGGCAAATTTCGTACGCAAGTGATCCGCTTCGTGCGGTGACCGCGTTGGGTTCGAACATATGATAAGTAGTACGTCCTCACGCAATGCTGCAAATACCTTTTTTCTTTCAATTTTATACCTGGAAAACAGCAAGAAAGTCGTTCCAGAAATCATCAAAGTCCAGATCCGGACAGGTTGCGAAAACTGATAAAGACAAGTTGAATTATTATTAGTAAAGCTATTTAACTTATGACAGCTCATACAAAAATAACCTTTATGTATATACATCAAAGAAGACTGGCCTGCAATTGTACTACTCTTTGTTGTTGTTAACAAAAAGACAAAGTGTTTATTTAATCAGGCTAGAGTTAACCAATGAATGTTGTTTAAGAACCACTGTCCATTGTAAATTTTCAAAAGAAAGAAACAAAAATATTCGAGCCTGAATAAACACAGATGTATTAAACCGCGCATCTGAAAATGGTCTAAATGAGGTTAGGAACGAAGGCTTTGTGTACTACATGATATGATCTACGAAGCTCGTCAACTGAGTTGCTAATAATAAGCGGCTAGAACATACGGTGAGTATCTGACTAGACCGTCTGAACAGAATATCAAAACCGCGAGAAAGCCTAAACAAAAGACATTCTAGTCAGCGAAGCACCCAGCAACAAGGTAATCAGAATGTCTCTTATTTCATTCTCATGCATTCGAATTTTGTTTTACTATATACAGTGGCAGTTCCAGAACGATTTTTAAGGGGGTGACTGTTAAGTAAAAAGGCATCACATTGTCTCCTTTTTAGGTCTTACCTTGTCCTTTATTAAAATATTTTTCAAATCAATAAGCCCCCAGTCTAAATTCCACTAACAAGAATAAGCCTCCAAGGGGTTTAATAGAGAAAATACGGTACATATAGTTTGGCGGGTGTTTAGCTCGCGTACCATCGCAATAGAGGTTTTGCACCATCACGTGCCTGAGCCATAATCCAGCTTGGACTGCCTGTGGTTAGAGGGCAGAACAATAAAATCCCTTTGCGCTTGGGAATTGAATTTTTTCTTATGTAAAACGATTTTATTGTTCCTGCCATCTAACATGGCTATCGTCACCCGATGGTGCAAAACCTCTTTATTGTAATCGATTCCTGTCATCCCAGTTCCCCAACGACAAATCGGTGTCCCGTCGACTCCCACTCATGTCTTTCAAAGTCAGTATTGAATTAAAGTTCGTCATAACAACATCGTGACAACAATTCGTTCCTAGATCATTTCTACCACTATGCACCGAGTATTCTACATTTTACTCGTTTTGTTCTTTGGGCCTTCAAGAACCACATCTCAGCTACCGCCACAGTGCTTCAAACCATCGGGATCATCTTGCGATTGGTATCGTGACTGCTTGGACAAGAAGTATCCATGTGAAGCCTCGGGTTATCCTTACGCCTTGGCTTACGCGGACAAGTTCTGCAAGTTGTACGACACAAGGAAGAGTCTGTTCTCTCCAGAAGAGTGGAAATGGGTTAGCGGTGTGCGAAAGTGTCTCCAAGAAGCTCTTGTGCCTGTCCTTCGACAAACTACCAAAGCGACGTGCAAGGAGATCAGGAAGAAAGGTTTTGAATCTCACGCACCGTGCTACCTCAAGCCGGACAAGAATATCCCGTCCATCTGTGATCTCGGCTGTGATGTATATTTCAAAGTCTTCAAGGTAATCAAAGGATCGTTTACGAGCTTTAACACCGCTTGGGAAGTGATAAAAGCTATGTGGTTCATTGCCAAGAAGTGTGGATTCACTTGTAGCCTTATGACCTTGAGATAAGAATTACGCTAATAACATCAAATAAATATAGATGGTTTCAATATACACGACTCTGTTTGTTTGTCTTATATGTATATAATCAAGAGAGCATAAATAAGAGAGGGAAACTTCTTATTGTGGCGCGCGCCATGTAAATTCCCGGTTGGGCTATTTTTAGTAATCAGAGGCAGTTTAAATTTCTCCTTACCCTACTCCCGTGCGTCAACTAAAGCGCTGCGTTTGTTGTTTTGATCACTAAAAACGAGACTCAAAACAACAAACGGAAAGACGCACGGGAATGTTAATGTGATGTTTTCTAGAACTTCGATTGGCTAGTGATTTGTTTAAATGTAATTTCGCTTCAATTGCCGACATTTTTTTCCAGGTGATGCTCATATGATCTAAACCGAGTATCACGCTCTCTTGGGTAGAGGCCAAGGTCCCAAACCCCTCCCCAATTACCCCGCCAAGGCCTGATGCTCAGGTTACATGTGATCTATGTTTGTTCACATTCGAAAACGAGGCATTTTCGGGCAAGATCTTACTCACATACAAAAGCTTCGAATTTATGTTTGTGAAGGGATTCTTTGAAGCTTCTCTTAGTTCAGAAGCAGAATGATGATTTTGGGGGGGGCCTCTAGGGTTTTGTTATATATAACATTACTAGTTTATTTTTCTTCGCTTGATAATGACTTAGGTTAAGTCGAAACGTCGCATAGTTATATATTTTTAGTTTTTACTATGTTAAATAGTACTATATTAATAATAAGTTTTTACGCTTTTCCAAGCTGGTTATCAACTATACATACATAGGCTTTGCACCATCACTTGATGGCAGTCATGAAGAACGAGGCACAACAATAGAGCCGATTTTTCCTTGGGAAAGGGAATTCTTTCTCATGTAAATCAGATTAGACTTTCCCATTTCAGACCACGTGTTATTCTCCATGTGTCTTCTTGATGCGTAACCATGAAACAAAGAAACTATACTAGGAAGCTAGGACACGTGGTATGAAATGGAAAAACAGCAGATTACGTCTATTTTTTATAGGAAGATAGGCCCTTTGCGGCTCAGTAATCACGTGCTGATTAATTCACTGAGAGCAAATGAATGAACATTTTGATTCCCATGGGTGAAATACTGGTGAGCAAACAATCTTTCTACCTGTTTTGAGACATCGTAATAAAACTGCATTTCGTAACACTGGTTATACATCGTTTCATTCAGTTCTTTACAAGTAGCTAAAAAGAATTACCATTCAAAATTAAAACAAAATATTTTGCTTTCCAGTAAAGGCACGTGATCGTTAACTGCAAAGGGCCTGTGGACCAACTAGACATGACCTGGTGTTAACAGCATTTGCTGGTCATCATGATGTACATGATTACCAGCCCCCATCTCCTGCCCTTCTCTGGCGCTCTGTCTCTCTTGTTTCATCTGACTGTTAACAAGCAGTGCAAAGGCAAGAATCACCTCCCGGCTCAAAATAGATCCGATTGAGGCTGAAGAAATGAAGCCGATCTTGATTGGGATTTCAATATTCGCGGCATATACACATTCTCCCTTCACGTGAGCGATCATCTACGGGCACAAATAGAAAACATTAATTAGGCGTCCTTTTTTCTTTGTATTTCATTTATCTTTTCTCTAATGTGAAATTTATTGTTGAATGTAGTTTTTTCCTTTCGCCATCATCTATATACATAAATGTAATTTAATAAATAGTTTTGTTGCTCAGCTCGATTAGCTTCATACGGTTATTCTGAGAAACATTTACCTTTTTTCCAATCCCTCTAGAAGAAGCAATTTCCATGGCTGTTTCATGTTTTACAAAAAATATCCCTATAAAAACGAATTCAATTATGAAGAAACAACTGAAGCATAAAAAATATATATATAGATCTAGCCAACTCAGTTACCCTACACAAGGAAGTATCGAGAAGGCCCAGAGAATGACAGAGAAAGATTCCTAAGAAACTCCTTAAAAAAAAAAAAAAAAATCAAATCGAATCAAATCATAAAAGTGCGAACTAAAAAAAAAAAGTTAAAAAATTATATTTCTTACGTCTTGGATATTGTTGTGTGACCTTTTGCTTGAAGATGGCCTCAGTGTAAGTCACTTCCCTGTTGGACTCATTTTCAATGAAGAATTTACACTCAATGACGTCACCAGGATAGTAACCTCCCTTGTTAATTTTACCAGATATGTTGACCTTTCCGCCTTTCACAAAACAACAGGAAATAGGCATTTCTTTCTGCTTGATTCGTGGTCGCTGTAAATAATAATTCTTAATTAAACTATTATAAAAAGAAGAGATAACTAGCTAAAAACTAGTGTGAGCTGCGTCGGTGTTTCTAATGAAACAGTAATGATGAAAAGGTAACTTGTTCTCATTGGTTTCTTTTGTTTTATTCTATCATATAAACACTCCTTTCTACCACCTATTTATCTTTTACTCCGACGAAGGACTCGCTTCCCACCGAAAAGTCAGTATGTTTTTTGTTCATATTTTCACTGTGTATAATTTACCGTTTTATCATCACTGACTATTATAGTGCTCTTTATACAAAGTTGGTATTCACCCTGCTAAATGAAATATGGAAATATGCGGCAAGAGTCACGTGACCAATGCGACTTGGACCTTGGTATCATATGTGAGCAGAATTGTTTGTTGGTTTCGCTTTTGTACTTTGAAGGGTTTTCAGGTTTTCACTTCACAAAAATCAACTTCCAATTTCAATTTGATCAGGAATTGGGGGCCAGATCGGAAACAAGCCTCTGTGCCGGTGGGGGGGGG